CTCAATTGTACTTCGTTCAGTTACATTGCTAATATCTAAGTGCTAAATTATGCATCAATTAAATTTATATATTGTATATTTTTATTTATTAAATTTACAGTGGAATTAGTTAATAGAAACAAAGTTGTATCTTATTAATATTGCTAAATAAATATTTATATGATGAAATAAGTCAGCGTATATACATATTCACAACTCTGTATTTTTATTGCTTTTGAAGCTAAACTGAGTACATTATTTATTCATTAATATTTTATTTACAAACCTACCTTATATTAATAAGTGAATATCAATAGAAAACCCTTTACAATTATTAGGTGACATTGAATATAATATATCTTGAATTTAATTGTCTGAAACAGTGACAATTTGCAAAACTTTGCTAATGACATTAAAACTTACAATTCAACGCTAGAAAAAACGCTATTGAACACAGGAAACGTTTCAGCTCAATATACCTACTCTCTAGTTTCAGCTATAAAAAGTTATGGAATAGATAACACCGATCAAAGGGTGCAATGGTAACGTTAGTCTTCAGTTTCCATTTATGATTAAGTTATTCTGATAAATGCTCTTAATTTTTTTTTTATATATCATATAAAAAAACCACTACTAGTTCGAAAGATTTTTAATGTTTATTAAAATGGTATCACACTAAACTGCATGTAAACATGTGTCAATTTCAAATGTTTAATGAAAAACTATGAACCTTTAAACTACATCAACAAAACTATTAATAAAACATAATCACACCATAAACTAATATTTCATTCGCATTTCTCATCAGAAACAATTACTGTTTACATCAAATCAAAGGTTGAACTGGTGATAAATTTGTTGCTGGAACTTCTATCTTTTTGTACAACAGTTCTAGGGAAGATTTATTTAGCAGCTTATATGTTTCTTCGGTCGTGTATGCACTAAAAAGAACCACATAATAAAACATTTTATAATATCAACTTAGGGAAAGGATATATTAAACCGGCATCTAATATAACCTAACTAACTTTTCAAACTCAAATTTAAGGTTTGTATTCACAATTTTAGCCACGCACATTGCTCAATTAGAAAAACCACGTTTCAAAAAGCTAACTCTGGTAAAATATTAACTTGGCTCTATAATTTATAACAAAATAGTTATTCTTGCCATAAGAAGCTGTGTATTTCTAGTATCCCATTCATCACAAGCGCGGCGATTTTCGAACTCATTTAGATCTCAAAACTGGGCCCCTGTTTTGCGTTCGATTCACTCCTCCTTTTAGACTCCATACTCAAAAATAAAACCTTTGTTTGTTGTTTTAATTCTATTTTCTATTTATTTTTTGAACTAAGATATGAACGAAAATATTATGCTGTGGTAACGTCAGTTAAAAATTATAGCTAACTTCCCATGATTTGTTTTAACCTATTTTTCTTTTTAAAATCGTTTTTCCCTCCAAAAGTTATTTAATTTTTTGTCCGTTTTTATTCTTGTGACATTTTGTCCCAAAGTGGATATTTATTTAATAATTGATATTATAATTATTATAAAGGAACTAGAAGCAAAATTGTTCACGAAATAATGGAGTAAGTCATTTACAGTTTAGTTATTTAAATGTTTAAAATTTGAAGTACCTACTTTATAAAAATTTAATTCTTCATTATTTCATAAACACATTGTTAACAAATGTAATAATGTCGATATTAATTTTTAGTGACAAAGAAAACGTATCGTTACTATCTAATGTATCTTCTATCAATGTACCTGCAAACGAGTCAGCAACAAAAGAGATTGCTGAAAATGCTGGAGAATTTGGTGTAAAGGTTGAACCTACAGCCAAGAGAAAATACTATGTAGTTGATAAGCAGACAGAGGCTGAGGAAAGGAGGGAAGCCGCTCTAAACCAAATGAGATATTTGTTGTCTCTATGCGACAAATATTCTGAACTTTATAAAAAGACATTGTCTACGTAAGTTTTTCATATAAAATCCCATAGGTATTAAGATTTAATTTAAGGTATATGGATAACTTGCCAATATAAGTACTGTAATCCTTTGTTATGTGTACAAACATGTAATGGAAACCCCAAAAAAAAATACAATTTCGAATAAGTAAAGCTCTTGAAATTTAATAATAGAACCCTTGATTATGTATAAATAGATATACAATGAGGGCTTAGTAAAATCCTGTCTTGTAGATGGCGCCTTGCCCGCTCTGCATTTTTGTATTCCCCTACGATTTTCTTTGAGGGGAATCTGTTAAACCTGCCCATCGTTCAAAAATGGAAGGGCGCGAGGTCACATCTATTGGGCTACTTATTAGCACGTTTCAGGCATGTTTTACGAAAATAGCTTTATCCTTGTTTGTTTAAACTGTGACAAGAAAAAGGAAAAAAAAAATTTTTTTTTTGTAGTTTGTCTAAATCTGTAGTTTTGTTTATCTTCCTCGACTTCTGATTTCATTTCTGCTTAGGTTATGGCCATAAAAATACCTATTAATGTTTAGAATAAATAAAAAAAAAAAAAAAAACCAAATAATTAAAAAATAAATTTTCTGTCTCCTTAAAGAAACGAAATGTGCATTTCTTTGAATACTTGGATTCACAAACCACATTTCTATGAGTTTTATGTGTTGTGTTTACTTGATGTGTAATGTGTATTTTGTATCTGCTGGATAATATTTTGAAGCATATTTAATTAAACAAAAGCATCTGTATTACAGGTGAGTAAATACTGTTCATATTTATTTCTAAATTCATATATAAATTTGTTTTAAATCACTCTTGGAGTTTTTATCTTAGAGTTTTACCTCATAGAGAGTTTGAGATAAGTTTAATAATAAACATTAAATTTGATAGATTGATAGATAGATTAAACGATAATGGCCAGTTGGACTTAAAAAATTTAAAAATACTTGATTTTATAAATTATGTTTCATTTCATACTTTGCTTTTTGAAACCAAGCCAGATATATAGTGTATTTTATAATTTTCACTTAATAACGTAAAATATTGTTTATCCACAGTCAACCCTGTGTTTAGATAAAGCTTCATATAAGATTTTCTTTATACTTTTCACTAAATCATATTTTGTAAATAGGTTTGTTTGTGCATGCAAAAGTAGCAAACTAAGGAGTATTTTTATAGATATAGAATATTCCAGATTTAAATACATATACTACTTAGAGTTGTATAGTTTGGTCACAGTTAGTATTTTTATTTTTTCTTGAGGAATTTGTCAAAATCTGTCATTCCAGAAAATACTAAAATGTCGTAATCGTATAGACTTCATTTTGGACCACATTTTGGATTAAATTTTTGTTTATATAATAAAATATATATTTAAAGTTCCTTTCTAAGTTAAAATATAATATGATTTTTTTTTTTTTTTTTTTTTTTTTTTTTTTTTTTTTTTTTTTTTAATTTGTTTTTTTGCTAAATTCAAATTATTTATATGATTAAATTTTCTTTATATATTATTTTTTTTTGTATTATATACATGAGTCAAACTATATATATTATATTTTTCTTTATATTTCAAATGGAACACTGTATTTTTATATCAAAATCAACAACTTTTATCCAACGTTTGTTTTGTTAAGATCTATATCCCTACCATGAAGTTATTGATTTGTTCTCACACTGTCTCTTGAGAATAAACATGATTTGTTTTTCTGCAATTTTTATTAGTAGGTTTGTCGTTAAAAGTGATGTATCTACATATTTCTCTATCAGCGACAAAATTAAGAATTAGATGTCAATAATTTCCTAATTATTTTCACTTAGTATCAGTAAATATTATTATTTTATCAGCTGCAGCTGAAAATAATTATGCATTTCCTCCTCCAAAAGAGGACAATACCGTATAAATATCAATTATTTTCAAAACAAAGTTGGAAAAACTACGTTTATGTCATAAAATGTGGTGTCTTTGAAATAATCGAGAAAACCCCAACATCTAGTTTTGACGCCACTAGTCATATATACTGCATTATATTGATTATACTGCAATTCTATTATACATACGTGGAAGCCAAGTGATGAAATGAACCTTCAAAAGTATCTCCAATTAAACATATTAAGAATTTCCTACATTATAATTTTGAAAGACGTTTGAGTGGACAGACAATTTGGTCTAAAATAATCATATGTCTAAAGAATTTAGTCTAAAATAATCAAAACCACTTAACACATATAACTCGCTTTAAAAAATCTAAAAGAAATAAGTTTGTTTTATTATATTCATATTTTATTAAATTATTATAGGTGTTACTGCTAAGTGGTCGTACTCACCACTTTAACCAACCATTGGTGGGACCATGGTAGGACCTTCAGAGATTATAATGCGAATTTTTCATATACCATAAATTCATATACATATATTAATAAATGCGTTTGTTTTATTAAATTTGTTTTCTTATACTGTATGAGCGAAAAATGGCGTCCATTTGTTTACGTACAAATATATGACATCGATATTCATTTCCAAGCCAAATTCCTGACGCTGTTTTTTATCGTATGGTATACACTTACATATCCCTTATCCTTTAAATCCGATTTATTTCTAATAATTATAAAATAAGATACCTGATTGATTCTTCCGAAATTTTATAAAATGAGATATCAGGAAATAAATAAAGTTACTTATCTCGTTTGTTTTGGGAATTCAAAAAAAGGGTATAGAGAATCTTAAGAGACACAGTTCAAATAATATTTTTTTTTTTTTTTTTTGCTTCAAAAAATGTGGCGGATATAATGTAACATGTTTTTTAATGCAAAACTCTTTATTTATAACTTTTATTTTATTTCGATTCTGCCTGTAATTCTATAACTTTTTATAAATAACGTTAGTATTTGCAAAAAATATTCCCATGTTACATAATTGTTAGTTGTTTCCGAAGTTGGGCTACCCAAATTTGGTAGAAGTGTTTTACAGAGGTGAAGAAAGATATATGTAAAAATACTTGAGTTGGGGATGCTACACTGTGTTCAAACAGATTTTTTTTTAAATTGAGTACCCTATATATTATTATTCTTTTCTAGTGTTTTTACAAAACCTTCTAACGTTTGTTACAGGCATATAAGTACACGTACTCTATACATTTGTAATCTGTTCTTGAATTTTTCAATTTTTATCCTTCTTTTACTTCATTTACACTATAACAAGTTTTGCCATGACAAAACAAAAATTCATTTATTATTAAGCATTAAAGTAATTTCTATATAGTTATATGACATTATTAATAGAAATTGAAGAATTTTGCAAAATCTATCAGAAAAAATTATAATATACCATGTTTTCAAAAGTGGCTTGATTGACGTATTCAATTAGTTTTTTTTTCTTTTTTAAAAATAATGAGAAAATTCGGAGCCATTTAGGGATAATGGCACCCCCGGTGGTTTTTTACTTTATTTGATAGAATATGGCATTGTGAATAGAATGATTTAATGTCAACTTTGACATATTTACTTAAAAATTGTATTTTAAATTACAATCAAGAGTGCCATGATAAAAACAACATGTAACCGGTTGTAAAGGTAACGACAGTTTGACTCGACATACGAAGTGGTGGCACCAAATTACCTATTTACCAGGTACCAAAAGAAAAAGACACAAAAAATATTGACGATCAAATCAATAATTTTCCGAAGCTCCTTTAATTTAAAAATTAATACCTTTTATCATTGTGCCATGACACTAGATTGAATTTTAAAATGCTATTTTTTTTAATTGAAAGTCAAAGTTGATATATGATATATGTCATTCTATTCAGAATGTCATTTTCTATCAAATAAAGTATAAAAATACCGCACCATTTAAAATCAAATTGTAATTCTGTATACATTTCCGGTGAAACAGGAAGTGACAGAAACTAACGGAATACGAATCAATCCTCGATTTAAGGCAATACATACCTACTAACATTCCGAATTTGGTAAACCCTGAATTTAATTTTTTTATCTGAAAAAATAAAAGTTATAGAGGTGAAGGGCTTTGAAAAACACTCAGTATAGGCTGCATTGAAAAATCTGTAAATATTTTTCATTTTAAATACGTAGTCGAATTTCAAAAATATATATTGAACACCCTGTAGCTCTACCTTTAAATATCTACATATAAATATCTAATATTTTTTCTCATCAACAAATTGAAATATTATAAACTAGTTTTGTAATACAATTCATTATACAAGAAATATACGTAAAAAAAGTAATAGAATTTTACGCAGAATCTAAAATAAAATAGGATGTTGTGAATTTAAAAAAACATTATGTTAAATCCGCCACACTTTTTACAAAGTTACAGACGTAGGTAGGTATAGTTTCATATTATATTCTTTAATTATCTATCTAAAAATAAAATATTTATACCCATTATAATACTTTAGTATCCAACAAGTGGCCATGAAAATCAAAATAAATATAAATCCATGTCCAAAAATAAAAATGTAAATAATGGGCTTTGAGGTATAAATTTGGTTCGAATCAGATAAGATATTTTTATTCTTTACCGAGAATTAAATTCGAAGAATTCCTAGTCCCTACTTCTTTGTCAAATTCAATAGTCTCCGCCCCTTTTTACGTTTTAATTTCTGCCACCAGTTGGCAGCATCGACTTATACAGGCTCATTGACTAACTATTAATATATAAACAAGGATAGAACTTACTTTATATCTTATTTACTTTATAAGTTTTATACATAGTCTGTCTAGCAAAAGAATACAAGACATTGGCAGTTGTCTGTCATTTAATCGAAAACTAGATCGTTTTTCTGAAAATTTTTGTTTGACCATTCAAAAGGTCATCAATTGATCTTAAATAAAAATTGACCTAAAATATTTTTACAGGGAAAATTCAAAACAACTGAAACATCCAAAACAGATCAATAAATTTACGCATACACTTGGAAAAGAAGACATAGAAGGCATCCAGTCTGAATTGAAGAATAAGCCCAAGGCACAAGCAGGCAAAGGTAAGTCCAGGGTAGTGCATATTAATGCAGAAAAAAATTTAATACCAAAAAATTAATTATTAATTTGTTTCTTAATCTGTATATCATATTACATATTTATATTTTTAATTGTATGGTGTTTGTATGAATGGTTCTTTTTTTTTGAATATAGCAGGGTTTCTTTCTCTGTGGGTTTATAGATTGAATTATGGAATATATATTTTTTATACATATACCTAGATGTTAAGATAGGAAGCAATGCTTCAACTTTGCTTTTTGTGATTTCTATTTTATGTATGGGTTACAATATTCCCTATAGAAATTAAAATATTTTCCTGAAATACTACATCCTGGTACATACCTATTTTAGGTTTGTACTTTGGGGTACTGCGTTATTGCGCTAGGAATTGCTAACCTAACCTATTTCTTATAAAGGCGCTCCATATGATTTACGCGAATTATAGATACTATATTTTTTGCAGATTTAGATATAACCGAATACCTTACCTATTTTCAAAATGGCAAACTACATCCATATCAAGTGGAAGGGGTGTCCTGGTTGTATGTAAGTGAACTTATTTTATAACAAATAGTAGACCTATTCAAAGTACAGTATGTCATAGGCTTGAGATCAGGGTTAAAAATAATGTTTTTTATTTTTTAAACAAAACGTGTTTTTATGGTTTAAAACTCAAGCCCCTTATAGGCTTGGTGCATTCTCCGCCGGTGCTGCCACCATCGGAGAATATCGTAAACAACTAGTATATACAAATACAGGGTGGCGCCTCTCATACGCCGCGGAGGATCCAAGGAGAACGACAGTTTATATTGAAATGAAATTTTGTGAGCATATGTAGGTTAATCAGAGCACTTTTTAAAAATAGAGAGAGTTCTACAGGGTGTCCCCAAAAAAAGTTACATATCAAAGTTGTGTTTTTTGTAATGGAACACCGTATATATTAATTGATTTTAGGATTCTGGGAGAAAAATAAAGGTGAGTTTTATAAGAGAAGTATATGTCTAAAATGTAAGGTTTTTGGCATATTTAACATTTTCTAGAAATATAGAACAATTTTCAATAAATCTACCTAAATTGGAATTTACCCAATGTAGCCTAATATGTAGTTAAATTAACTATTGTACTTTAAATCAAATTAAAACTTGGTTCAAAAAGTTATACAGGGTGAGACAAAATTAATATTGAACATTGGACACATTTAAAAGCATATTACTCTTTTATTTTAAATGGAACACCCAGTATATTATTCCGATATTCAATCGAGAATTCATGTCTCTTCAAAATACTATTAAGGTTGCCTACCCATCAAATAAAGATTTTCCTAGATATTTTCATTTAATGATTTGATCTGTGTAGATCTTTAATTAGTCCATCTTTAACAACTAGTTATCATTTTGTGTTAGTTAAAACAAAAAAAAATTCTCAGAAATTTGCCGAAAATGCAAATTTATCCTACATCAAAGAGAACTGATATGATTCTATTAGTTGGCGAATGCAGTGTGCATTCACCAATTAATAAAATACTTAAATGCTCCTGATTTTATCTAGTCTGGGTTTTTTTATGAGGATATGTTAAGCCGCGTACTCACTGGCGAACAGCAACTGTAACTGCAACCGTTGCTGTAACCAAATTCTATAGTGTGGACGCTTCGAACAGCTCGCGCGAGCCGCCAGTTGTCGGTTTTCAGGACGAACACAAAGAGATTCTCGGTTGGTTCGTGGACGTCGATTTGGGACGTTCGCCAGTGTGTACGTCCAATAGTCTCGCAACCAACAAAAATATGAGTACGTGGGACGAAGAAAAGGTTTTGGAGCTAATTGAAAAGTACAAAAACATGCCTATAATATGGGATGCAAAAAATAAAGACTTACAAGAGACATTTAAAAGAAGATGCTTGGACAGAAATTGGTTCTTTAGTGGGACATTGTGTTCGCGAGCTCTGTGCAAACACTGCGGATCGAGAGGTTCGTGAGAAGAGTAGTGCATACCTTCGCGACGATTCTGTTGCAGCAACGGTTGCAGTTACAGTTGCAGTTCGCCAGTGAGTACGCGGCTTTAAAGACAGTATTTACAAAACTCAACCAACTATTGTCGACAACATGAGAGGAATTATTGTAGCTCCTTTTCGAGGTAGAACTCCACATATGCCTTTTAAAATGAAAAGATACTTTTGAAAAGACAATCATTTTATGCATTTAATGATGCTGCATGAAATGTCTTTTCAAAAGGATCTTTTCATTTTAAAAGGCATATGTGGAGTTTTTTATGCACAATCATTTTATGCTTTTAATGATGCAGCATGAAATGTCTTTTCAAAAGGATCTTTTCATTTTAAAAGGCATATGTGGAGTTTTACCTCGAAAAGCAGCTACAATAATTTCTCTCATGTTGTGGACAATAGTTGGGCAAGTTTTTTAAACACTGTCTTTAACATATCCCCATAAAAAACTCAGACTTTTACCTAAAATCAGGAGTATTATTCTTTTTAATCTTTAAGTATTCTATTAATTGGTGAATGCACACTGCATTCACCAACTAATAGAATCATATTAATTATCTCTGATGTAGGGTAAGTTTGTATTTTCTGCAAATATCTGAGAATTTTTTTTTTTTAACTGACAAAATGATAACTAGTTGTTAAAGTTGGACTAATTAAGACAGCTATGTTGACGTAATGTCAGACATATCACAGCCACCTAGATTTTATCAAATAATAAAATAATAAAGATCTACCCAGATCAAATCATGTAAATGAAAATATCTAGGAAAATCTTTGTTTGAGGGGTAGGCAACCTTAATAGTATTTTGAAGAGACATGAATTCTCCATTGAATATCGGAATAATATTCAGGGTGTTCCATTTAAAATAAAAGAATAACATGCTTTTAAAGGTGTCCAATATTCAATATTAATTCTGTCTCGCCCTGTATAACTTTTTGGACCAAGTTTTAATTTGATTTAAAGTACAATAGTTAATTTAACTACATATTAGGCTATACCGGGTAAATTCCAATTTAGGTAACTTTTATTGTAATTTAAAAATTGTTCTTTATTTCTAGAAAATGTTAAATATGTCAAAAACCTTACATTTTAGTCATATACTGTAGAACCCTCTATTTTTAAAAAGTACTCTGATTTAACTTACATATGCTCACAAAATTTCATTTCAATACAAACTGTCGTTCTCCTTGGAGCCTCCGCGGCGTATGAGAGGCGCCACACTGTATTTAATATTTTCTTTAGACTTTGTTCATGAACGGCACCAACGGCATCCTGGCCGACGAGATGGGTCTAGGAAAAACCGTGCAAATCATAGCTCTAATTTGCGTTCTCCTGGAGAGAAACGTGCCCGGACCGTTCCTCATCGTCGCCCCCCTGTCCACCATTCCGAATTGGGCGAGCGAATTCAAACGGTTCGCCCCGGAGGTGCCCGTGGTGGTCCTCTACGGCAAGACGGAATCGAGACAGGAAAATATGCCGAAAATGTTCAGAAAATACATCATAGGCGCGTTGCACACTTACCCTGTAGTGATCACGTCGTACCAGGTACCCGTGATGGAATCTAGTAAGTTTTTGAGGATGAGATGGAAGTATATTATCGTAGACGAGGGACATCGAATCAAGAACCACAAAAGTCAATTAGCTCTGTAAGTACTATAGTCTGGTTCACGTGTACCATTTTTAGTAAAATTACGAATGTGGTGTCATTCAATTCGTATTGTCACCTAGAAAGTTTAAGGAAAAGTCCGAAAAGGCGCTGAAAAAAATTACTAAAGTTATTAACAATTAAGTGAAAAAAAGTGGCGGTTTTTTTTAATATGTATCTCGAAAAATATATTTTCGAAATTTGAAAAAAATCCAAAAAGATGAAGAAATTTACTAAAAAAAAGTTCTAGTTCCTGGAACCAATGACTAAAGAATACAAGGACGTGTAACGGCCATATACGGACTGCAACACAATTTGTTACGTTAGACGCCATCAATTTGGAGCCTACGGATAAGCTACGGATGAGTCACCACCTCGTCAACAGTGACAATTTTAGCGATTTTTAATAATTTGTGGTGTGTAGTGAACTTAACAATAACAATAACAATTTGGTCTCGGTTAATATGTCCTTGTATTCTTTAGTCATTGCCCGGAACTCTAGCTCAAATATTTATAATTTTTACAGAGCCGTGAAAACAGAGCTAAAAACGAGTAGTCTGGCTTACGCGCGCGTTGCCTCACTTTAAGACGATAACTTGAAAAATGATTTAACCATATTAAATATTAATATTAAGGAATAAGAAAATTCATGGAGTGTTGGGATACATGAATAAACAATAATCCGCGGTCGAAAAGTTTGTATCCTAATTTTAACATTAATTATGCATTTATTAATTAATAACTTTTCCTAAACTGAGAGTTAAAATATATAAAAACCCCGATAATTATTAAACTAAAACCTTAAAATTATTTTCACTTAGTGAAGTTATTCTTAATAGGCGAACAAATGAATTACCTTTAAAAAAATTAAACAATTTTTATTTTCCACTTTTTTATTAACAATTGAAAATTACAAATTTTAATTGTTTTTATTTCTGATCGTAAAAATCTACTTGAAAATATATTTTTTTATTTTTTACTACTGTTATTCAAAAATTAGTTATAAACAAATATATTGTTTATTAGTAATTCTAAATTTTTTATTGGTATTTATTGATAAAAATTATGATTTTTAGAAAAAATCCCATTCGTTAAAAATATTTATTTATTGCTTAAAAATTCGATTGTGATTTAACGTTTGCGTTAAAATATTAAAATTAAGAAACCGTTTTTACTTTATACGATAGAAAATGACACTCTGAATAGAATGACATATCATATGTTACCGTTAAATAAACAACGTAACCATATTCGAAAATATTAAAAGTTGACATATGACATAACAAATAAATTTTGATTTTTCTATCATTTTTTTTTCTAAAAGCGAAAACTTTATGACTCAAAGATCCGAGATAGTTAGGGAACATATGAGTAAAAGAAAAATTTAATATAATAATAATAATTTAAATTGAAATATTGTATTTTTTGCAGCGTTTTGAACTTTAAAATTGCTTTATCTCAAAATCATAAAATTTGACTTAGCCCGTTTTTCCCCTGTACCCTTCATTTGATATGAACTATATGTTGATATAAAAATAAAACATATTTTTACGTGAGGAATCTCCTCACAAGAGATAGCGCATGTTTGTTGAAATATCCTGTATAACTTTGCAATTTTAATATTTGTTATTTATTTTCACGTTTAAGGAAATTGAGAGAGTTCAAATCCGAAAACAGAATTATATTAACAGGAACACCTCTACAGAACAACATGATGGAATTATGGGCATTGTTAAATTTCCTTTTGCCTACCTTTTTTAACGATATGGAAACATTTACCGAATTGTTTTTAATGGAAGACATTCAGGTAGGTCACACGAATTTTTGTACAATTTCTATTTGGTTGTTTAAATAAATCAAGCCCTTATGCTTAATTTTCATGTGTCCGTTATCCGTTGATACGATGGTCTGATGGCGCTCTGATTGGTCATAGCGTTTTCGCGCCACTTTTCATCCGTAAATTTTTTACTCAAGCCTGTCAACGGAGAAAGATCGTACGATAACGGACCTTTTAACACTTTTTTGACAAACTTAATCCAACCTTAATAAAAATATAATAGTACAAAAACTAGCACCGTCGGGAGAACGATAATTTTAAGAAAGCCGGTTCTTTAATATATCTTTTGCTATGCTCTCCTGACCAAAGTGCGGACCGTCTGGCTGCCGGTAGATTACTGCGCATCACATCGGCACATTTCACTACTGCACATCACATCTGTACAGGGTGGCTCGAATTCGACGCTCATCATTGGCATTTCGGAAACAGTAGGAGATACAGGATCGGTTAAATGGAGGCAAAGTTGCGCAATTTGATGCTCAATAAAATGCCGTATTGCATTTTGAAAAATTCCGGTAAAAAACGGAATTTTCAATTTTGTTTTCTATTGTTTCCTGGCTTTATTTGTTAAGATAACTTAAAATGAAAAACACATTTTCATGGCCACTTTTTCTGCTCGCCATGGCCGCTTTTTCATGGCCACTTTTTACTTCGCTGGCTGAGGCGCGCCGCTGACTCAGGAGAAGGATCGATACGGCCACCGAGTGGGGGTTTAAGATTATTATTTGTGGACATTGTATTGTCAACTCTGACGCCTAGCGCATCTCTCGCGTAACACGTGCCCGACAACATCAGAAGTGGTTGAGAACATTTAGTGTTGGTGTTTTGTGAAGTTTTATCTGTTCCAAGTTCAGATACTCAGTTATAAATCCCAATCACAAAAAAAATCATGCTGTGAGTGGTATCTTTAGAAGAAAGCTCTACATCGAAGTCTCAATAGTACAAAACACCGGATAACACAGTACACGTCCACAGTACTTTTGAAATAGAAAAACGACATTACCATAGAAAAATGTCATTTGAGGACCGATACTGAAGGCTCCAGTAGACCATATGAATGGTTGATCTGTTTTGGGTGAAAGTTTCTTGAAAAGGAATTGTCTGTTTAGAGGATATAATGATCCAAATGTTAAGGTAAATTAATTAAAAATAAAAATAATTAATAGAAACGAGACCCTCAAATAACCCATTGGTTTGCTATATCACAATTTTGTTTGATTGTTATATTGAGCATAATCTTAAACGTCAAACTCACGCATACTGTGTCAATAATAGTTGGCCTCTCGGTTGGCCTAAATTATTATTTTTTTTGTTTTGTTTTGTCGTTACAGAAAACTAGCTTTCGAGAACGAAAGTTCTACAGGATGGCCGTGCTGGCTGAGGCGCGCCGCTGACTCAGGAGAAGGATCGATACGGCCACCGAGTGGGGGTTTAAGATTATTATTTGTGGACATTGTATTGTTAACTCTGACGCGTAGCGCATCTCTCGCGTAACTCTGACGCGTAACACGTGCCCGACATATGTGTGATTAAATATTGACTCGGCGACCATCATCAACTTAATTTTGTTAAATACGGACCTGATTTTTTTTTCAATTTAAATCCTTTTGTCACTCTTAAAACACTATATATAGTCAGTTTGATATTTGCCGACGTTTCGTACAGAAAATTCTATCACCAGAATATTTTATGCAAAAAAAAATAAAAATAAAAATGCAATACGGCATTTTATCGAGCATCAAATTGCGCAACTTTGCCTCCATTTAACCGATCCTGTATCTTACGGTTTCCGAAATCCCAATGATGAGCGTCGAATTCGAGCCACACTGTACCGGGTATCCCATTTTCGTGTGTTTTATGGGATTTCTCGTTTATGAGTAGAGATACAATGATGCGATTTTCACATTACTTTGCTATTTTTTTATGAAACTAAATATGCTACACATACGTTTGCCCTAGCCTCCTTAGTTCCTGAAATACAGGGCGAATTTGTGATGCGGAGTAGTGAACAGATGTTGAATACAGATATGATGCGTAGTAGTGAACGCAACGTCTACCGACAGCCAGACGGTCTGCACTCTGGTCAGTAGAGCATAGCGTCAGTGAAACATGATAACCTGCTAACTCTATTTTTTACGTTAATAAGTTTTTTATACCATTAGAAAAAGAAAAAAATACTCTATAAGTAGGGAACGCAAATACATTTTTTCCTATTAAAGAAAATTTGCTATTTTAACTCAATAATATCTGCTAACTTCCAGTGATCTGAAATAGCCACCGAAATGCTGCTTTCTCCGTAATTTCCGTTACGATCACGCTAAAGCAAACACACGGATTCTTATTCGTATGTTTCTTTAGTACAGTACGTCGATCCAGGGTCGCACTATGCCAAAGGGGTCCGGGTGGCAATGTATGGAGGGGCCAGTGTGGATTTTTTTGCGTATTTTTTCGCCTTACGTTTTGGTCAATTATTTCCTATTATATACAGGGTGAGTCTTAAATAACTGCAAATATTTTTAGGGGTAGTATATTTCGATCCAAGAAACACGATTACGAGTTTTTTTTGCGCAATTTTTTTTCTTTTGGAAATATGGAATTTTTTTAATTTTTAATTTAAAAACATACTTTGTAATATGGCAACATAGGTATAAGATTAAATTTACAAGAAAGAAAATCCAATGATTCTCAGAATTATAGCAAAAAATTGGAAATTTTAAAAGTGAAAAAACTCAGTTGTTTTGGATTTATTTGAAAAAACGGTAAAGAGAAAATATTATGTTTCTTTTATCGAATTTACCAGCCCTGATAATATTTGCACTTATTTAAGACTCACCCTGTATAGAAATCAGGGAATTATCCTAATGCAAGGTAAACCAATGCAATGCAAAAGTATATATATATATATATATATATATGACCCTGCGTCGATCCGTTCCGTAAATACGGGGTATCCGTAAAGAGTAAGGGGAAAACTAAATTCTCTATATACGAGCAATTCATCGGTGTGCTATAAATAGTTTAATTAATATTACTTACTTGTACAAGGATTTCCATAATACCTAATCAGTTTTAGTTTTTTCAACGTTTTTCCACGTAAATGATACATAGCTTTTATAAAAATTAAAAAAATAAGGAGAAAAGTAATAAAAATTTAATAAAATCACGCACTGTTTTCCAAGCTCGGTCTACTACCTATTGTATAAAAATTAGGATAAGTATGGAAGGATTCTACCATATACATAAGAATTATGAGTTTAATTTTTAAATTATTTTCATATTCATTACGTCCAAAATGCTGCTACTTCAGTTCTTTAAAAATGCATTAAAAATTTATTCGTTTTTGGACTTGTACATATGTTTTGCTTCTAGACCGACGGTATTATAAATATATGGTTATGAATATCATATTTTTTAAATTTAATTGATTATTTCTAAATCTGTTTGGGTAATATTCAATTCCATTTTCAAAATTTCAAACTATAAAGGTTGCTATCTCCAGAAGTATATTTTATTTCTAATTTCTGCAAGACGAATATCTGCTATCTCCCTATTGTGTCTGAAAAAAATGATGTAACACGAAATATTGAGTTTTATTGTCCCCAGTAAATAAAACTCTTATCTCTTTATCATATTAACGCGTGAAAATACTTTCTACATGTGTACATATTTTTTTATACCGTTTTTCTGTCTCCTGTCTTCTCTCCTGTAAAATTAGGAATAATGGGGTTTAGCAGTTTATCACATTTCACCGACGATTTATTCGTTTTTGGACTTGTATGTTTTGCTTCTAGACCGACGATATTATAAATATATGGTTATGAATATCATATTTTTTAAATTTAATTGATTATTTCTAAATCTGTTTGGGTAATATTCGATTCCATTTTCAAAATTTTAAACAATAAAGGTTGCTATCTCCAGAAGTATATTTTTTTTCTTATTTCTGCAAGACGAATATCTGCTATCTCCCTATTGTGTCTGAGAAAAATATGATGTAACACGAAATATTGAGTTTTATTGTTCTCCAGCAAATAAAATTCTTATCTCTTTATCATATTAACGCATGAAAATACTTCCTACATGTGTACATATTTTTTTGTACCGTTTTTTGCTCTCCTGTAAAATTAGGAATAATGGGGTTTAGCAGTTTATCACATTTCACCGACGATTTATTTGTTTTTGGACTTGTATGTTTTGCTTCTAGACCGACGATATTATAAATATATGGTTATGAATATCATATTTTTTAAATTTAATTGATTATTTCTAAATCTGTTTGGGTAATATTCAATTCCATTTTCAAAATTTCAAACAATAAAGGTTGCTATCTCCAGAAGTATATTTTATTTCTAATTTCTGCAAGACGAATATCTGCTATCTCCCTATTGTGTCTGAAAAAAATGATGTAACACGAAATATTGAGTTTTATTGTTCCCAGCAAATAAAATTCTTATCTCTTTATTATATTAACGCATGAAATTTTCATGCGTTAATATATGATGAAAATAACTCCTACATGTGTACATATTTTTTTTGTACCGTTTTTTTTTGCTCTCCTGTAAAATTAGGAATAATGGAGTTAGCAGTTTATCACATTTCACCGACGATAACAAAAGATATATTAAAGAACCAGCTTTTTTAAAATCCTCTCTCGCTCTTAGACTACAAGTAAAACAGCGAAATCGTTATGGAAATGAAAATATAAAATGACACAAATCACAAGCAAATCGTACATCCGATGAACGAGGCATGAAAATGCAATAAATTTAAAAACTGCGTAATTTTCTAACCAATCGAAGGCTTTAAATTCAACCAATAAAATAAATATCGTATCATCGTATCGTCTGACAACGAATGCATGAAAATCAAGCTTTATACTACATAATTTTAAACATAGAATGAAGGTCAGTTGATAAAACAAGAAGAGTCTAATAACTTGGTTAGTAAAATTCACAAAGTCCTCACCCCGTTCATGTTGAGAAGATTGAAAAAGGATGTTTTAATTGATATGGTGCCTAAGAAAGAACTTTTAGTGTATTGTCCTATGTCGGATCTTCAGTTGAAACTCTACCAATCTGTTATCGATAACAATTTTGCGATATTAACGGATAAAAAAGAAGAAGAAGAGGTGAGTAACAGCGTAAGTGTACATGCCATATTGGTCACTTTATTTCCCTGGTTGAAAAAATTGTGTCTAGAAGAAGAAAAATTGAACGCGCTGTTTACTAATGGAAGCATGGTTTTATGAACCGCGTTGGTATCGTTTAAAGATGATTTTTTTCTTATAGATATCATACAACAATAAACGGTATACAGGGTTGTTCACCACATACGACACGGAGTATTGTAGCTAAACGATTAGATTTTTAGAAATTGTAAGTTTTGGATTCGTTGAAGGACTATTAGAGCTACAATTTAAAAATATTTTTACAAGATAAAGAGTGTCCCAAATAAATAAAAAATATCAAAGTTGTATTATTTTAAACGGAACACCCTGTATCTTATTACATTTTTAGTTTCTACGATTAAAATAAAGATAAATTTGATTAAGGTTTATTACACTTAAACCTTACCGTTTTTGAAATATTTTCAATTTTGTGAAATTGCAGTCTAAATTTTAAGGCTTCATTTCTCCAAGGGTATCAATGTTTTTAATACTAAATATTTACTGAAGTTTATTTATTGATCAGTTATTGTGCTGCAATAATAAAAATTATACTACCTTACACAGAGTGTCTAACATTTTATTGCTAGCTTTAAACGGCAATAACGGTTATTAACGTTTTAATTTAAATGGAACATCCTGTATATTTTATGAGAATCAGATGCACAATTTAATTGTCTATCAAATTGTATTATACCATTTTTTACCTATCTCTTCAAGTTTCCGTAGAAAATGTATTTTCTTGTAATTTAGAACTCATTTATCAATATACCCATGGAATACTGACATTTTAGATTATTTTTAAAGATGTACCAAATTTTTAAAGAGTACAGATACTAATATTGTCGATGTAGTTTGTTTATTTCATTAAAAGATAAAAAAAACTGCTTAAATATTTGTTAAAGTAGACCAATTAATATGATTCCAGTATTCAAACTACATTAATTGACTGATTAATAATAATTGCTCCAAATACTAAAAAACTGGAATTTTGTATGTGTATTAGACAGTGTGCTAAAAAGTTAAAACACCTTAAAAATGATATTTTATTTTTTTAAAATGCTTATTTATAACAACAGAGACATTCATTTTCATAACTTATTATTATATTGATTTCTAATTCAAATCCACATTTATTTCGAATAATTCATTAACGAACATAATTAATTAGTATTTGGGCGGAATAATGGTGGTATATTTAATTAATGTAATAAGTTTTCTTTTTGCATACAAATGGGCTAGTAATATCATTTACTGAAAGAACAATAATGTTACTAGCCTGTACATTTTGTACATTTGCTGCTTTAAGGACAATCTAAAATGTCAATATTCCATGGGTATATTGATAAATGAGTTCTAAATTGTAAGAATATAAATGTTCTACGAAAACTTGAAACGATAGCTAAAAAATGGTGTAATACAATTTGATAGACAATTAAATTGTGCATCTGATTCTCCTAAAATATACAGGGCGTTCCATTTAAATTAAACAAGTTATTGCCGTTTAAAGCTAGAAATAATTTATAATACATTTTTAAACACTCTGTATGAGGTAGTATTATTTTTATTATAGCAACACAATAATTGATCAATATATAGACTTCAGTAAATATTTAGTAATAAAAACTTTCATACCCTTGGAGAGATGAAGCTTTAAAATTTTTACTGCAATTTTACAAAATTGAAAATATTTCAAAAACGGTAAGGTTTAAGTGTAATAAACCTTAATCAAATTTACCTTTATTTTAATCGTAGAAACTAAAAATGTAACAATATACAGGGTGTCCATTTAAAAAAATACAACTTTGATATTTTTTATTTATTTGGGACACTCTGTATTTTGTAAAAATATTTTTAAAATGTAGCTCTAATAGAGTCCTTCAACGCACCCAAAACTTACAATTTGTAAAAATCTAATCATTTACCCACAATACTCCGTGTCGTATGTGGTGAACAACCCTGTATAATGTTCAAGATTAAGTTTGCTTTGAAATTATACATATATTAAATACGGGACTGTGCAGAATCAGCCAATCACATAGTGTCCGATTTATAGTAACTACCCGGCCGGACCATTTATGGTAACTACCCGGCAAACACTGTCCGACTACTGACAAAACAGCACTTTTATCACTTGTACGAAAACGGAAAGATGTAGAAACAAAGTTTGTCAACACCCTGTACATTACTTTTCAGAGTTAATTCTTGTATTGATTTTGAAGCCAGAGAAATAAACTTTACTAAAAAAAATTATTGCTTCTTTAAATGTATACAGGGGTATCAAAAGTTGTTGGTCTTTATTATTTTTATGAAAAATAAATATTTTAAATAGACCAACAATTTTTGATACCCCTATGTACATTTAAGGAAGCAAACAAATTTTTTAGTAAAGTTTATATCTCTGGCTTGAAAGTTAGCACAAGAATTAATTCTGAAAAGTAATGTTCAAGGTGTTGACAAACTTTTAAAATAGCATGTATATTTAAATATCCTTAAATATCTCAAAAAACCAAAGCTTTTAAACATATTAAAACCTTATAATAAATGCCTTATTTTATGTCGAAGAATACAAAAATGAAATAAAATACCTGGTATTCCATAAGAAAAAATATAACTTTGGTGTAAATCTTAGTTCTGACATACCCTGTACGTTTCAAAATAATTTTAAATTATTCACATTGCCTTCCCACATACCGGGTGTTGCATCGTCGAGCGGGACATAGGAAATCCCATGTAAATTTTAATGGGTTCAATTATTGGCTTCCCTAATTATTTTAGAGCATAATTCTATTTAGGTTTATTGAAGAGCACTAAAACCCACATTCAAAAGAATAACTTTAGATATTTTTGATTAGCCCGTTTATGAGGTATCGCCGATTTTTTTTTAAATATTTCTCCTTTCTTATGGCCCTGTATTTACTTATGAGCACCAGTCAAGGTAAAAAATAACTGTCAAATGAAGTTGTCATTTCAGAAATTTATCTATTTAGTTCAGGGGCCGGAAAGTGAAATAGCAAAAGCGGTTCCACCGTTTCCATGGAAATTTCAAATAAAATAGTTCCAGCCTCGGGCGCTAGGTGGTAGTGCAATTAATTTTTAGGTTAAGAAGTTGCTACTAGTTATTGCCAGATGGCGTTCAATCAGATTTTTTTTGTAGTTTCCATAGTTTCC